ATGGTCTCGATCTCCTGACCTCATGATCCGCCCGTCTCGGCCTCCCAAAGTGCTGGGATTACAGGCTTGAGCCACCGCGCCCGGCCAAAAGTCTATATTCTAACAGCTACACAAACAACTCAAATAGGCAAGGCACACAAGAGGAAATACAATTATAGGCCAGGCGCAGTGGCTCACACCTGTTATCCCAGCACTTTGGGAGGCTGAGGCAGGTGGATCACCTGAGGTCAAGAGTTCGAGACCAGCCTGAGCAACATGGTGAAACCCCATCTCTACTAAAAATACAAAAATTAGGCAGGCATGGTGGTGCATGCCTATAATCCTAGATACTCGGGAGGCTGAGGCAGGAGAATCGGTTGAACCCGGGAGGCGGAGGTTGCAGTGAGCTGAGATCACGCCACTGCACTCCAGCCTGGGCAAAAAAGCGATTCTCCATCTCAAAAAAATTAAAATAAGTAAATAAATAAATACAGTAAAATGTCAAATGCATGTTAAAAAGTTGATGCACTAGTGATGAGTGTATGATACAATTCAAAAAACGTCCACTTTCTAGTAAACAGAATGTTCTGTAGTCAGCCCAGGTTTACTGAACGCTGCTGCTTGCCAACCCCTGTTCTGAGTGCTGAGAACACTGAAGTGAGAGAAATTTAATTTTACTCTAATTACAATCATGTATATATATGCAAAAGCAATGAGGAAGAATGTAGAAATGTATGGTGGTGCTGGCATCGGGGTGATTTCCTCTTTCATTTTGTTCATTATCCTAACATTGCATGGCAAACACTCACAGTTCAGTGGGAAAAAGGAAACAAGTCACTGTCTCTGGAAGCCGTTCAAGCAGTAGCAGGGCCGTGTCTCTCTGCCCACACACAGGAGGTTCAAGATCAAGCTGGGGCTGGGGGCAGTGGCTCACGCCTGCAATCCCAACATTCTGGGAGGCCGAGGCGGGTGGCTCACCTGAGGTCAGGAGTTCAAGACCAGCCTGGCCAACATGGCGAAACCCTGTCTCTACTAAAAATGCAAAAATCAGCCGGTGTGGTGGCGGGCGCCTGTAATCCCAGCTACTCGGGAGGCTGAGGCAGAACTGCTTGAAACCAGGAGGTGGAGGCTGCAATGAACCGTGCCACTGCACTCCACAGTACAGACACAGCGAGACTCCATCTCAACTAAATCAATCAATCAATCAATCAAACTGGATGATCGTGGCTATTTCTGATCCAGTCTCAGGCACTCTTGGGCCAGTCAGACGCTCTCATGAGTCATCCTCTTCCAGAAGCCCTGAGTGCTGGGTGCCGCCTTCCTCAGTGGGCTCAGCATGGAGGCGACAACATCACAGGAGAGGCACTGAGTGACAGGAAGCAGATGGGTGGCAGGAGGGCTGCGGCGGGCACCACCCTGTCCCCGGACCCCTCAGCTCAGGGATCTCAGCTGTTTGGGGCTCGCTCACAGAGCTAAGACGTCACAGCAGTGACTCTGTGTGGTCATGGCAGGGGAAGCAATCCCACCCTCTTCCTCCAGCAAGGAAAAGTCATTATGGGCCTTTAGGCAGGACAAGGTGATGGCCACTCCCACACTGCAGGGTTACAATCTCGGGGGACTGCCTGGGCCAGCTGGCGAAAACACAGGAGGTGGTCCAGCAAGGAGCCACACTGTCCCTGCTCAGAGCCAGCCTAGCGCTGCCATCTGGGAACGCGGACCCAGGAGTATCAGATCTTCTACAGGTTTCTAAGGAATGCTTAAATCCTGTTACGTGAAATCTGATTTCTCAACACTGACAACTAATTTAAATTGATTTCAAAACACTTTGGTAGTCAAAAAACCCATCTGTGGATTGCACCCCAGCCCATCTGCTTTGTTCTACCTTCAAGGAGGTACTGAGGCCACTGCCCAGACTCTGAGAAACAGCGTTTTTGGCTACAGGGGAATCTGTGTCACTGGAGATAGGAACATGCTGGCCTGAAGCACTGCAACCCCCCTGCGGTTACACTTTGCAATGAGCATCCTAGGCCCCACGATGGAGGCTTCCACCAATCAAAGTAGGCTAAAATTCTAAGTCAACCTGTACCTTCCAAAGCCCTTGTGAGATTTTGCAAACATCCATTCATTCTGCACACATGTACTGAGCATCTACTATGCATCGGTTACTGTGCAAAGAGCTAGAAAGAAAGCCATGAGTGAGACCTTATGGAACGTGTGTGTGTGTGTGTGTGTGTGTGTGTGTTTACGTACGTACCATGGGGCAGGGAGAGGGGAAGAAACAGTTAATAGAATAAAAAATCGAACAAGAGCTTCTGTAGCACTAAGTGCTACAGAGATGATCTGAAGGTGACGGCCCTGAGAGGGCTGAGAAGTGGCTTCTTTGGATGGCGAGGTTGGGGAGGCAGATCTCTGAGCTGAGATGGAAAGAGGGAGAACCAGCATTGAAAAGGCTTGAAGGTGACCCATGCAGAGGGAACATGAAGCATGCAGGCCCTAAGGTAACCGCTTTAGAAAGTTCAAGAACCAGGAAGGCTGATGAGGCCGGGGAGCCACTGCTCATGGGAAAAGAGGCCACAGTGGTCTGTATTCTGGAGGGGGTTTCCTAACCTCCTGCTGCAACCCCTTCCGCCCCACTTCCCCCACTGCTTCTTCCTACCCCGCAGCCTCCAGCTGCAGAAGGAACTCACGAGATTGCCCCGGTGTGGCTGCTGCGCCACTTCCCCACGGAGCTGTGCTCACACTGATTTCCCCAGCATCCCGGAACAACCAGAGCTGTGGCTTCTCCACCAGGTTGGCTTTGGGCAATCAGACAGGGGCTCCCTGCAGGGAGAATCTGGAACTTTCTGTAAGCCTGCCCCTTCCCATCAACCTCAAGACAGTCCTCTCTTTTAGTGTTTCCAAGAACTCCCAAAT